GTGTCTTCAGAAAGTGGTATCATTGTTTATCTCTTTGACATCTGATAGGAGGATGTTCCACAGGGCAGGTGCGATTACTCAGAATGCCCTCTACTTGGTTCCCTGTAACTTCTCTCGCAGTCAGGGAACTGCCAAAAGACCCTCAGAGCTGGACCTCAGTGTCCGAGCTGAATGAAGGGGGTGGAGATGCTCCTTCAGGTATACAGGGCCAAGGCTGTTTAGGGCATTAAAGGTCAGCACCAACACTTTGAATTGTGCTTGGAAACGTACTGGGAGCCAGTGGATTAGATGTAGTTTCTGAGTCACTTTCTGTGTAGAGCGCAGTGGTCCAAGCGGGAGATAAACCAGAGCAGGGACCTATTGCCCAGGCAGGGTTCTAAGGATAAAATGGGGAAAGGGAGAACCGTGTACTCTAAGCTTTTTGAAGGAAAGGTAGACCATAACAAATAAGTAAACAAAATACTATTGCCCTGCGGACGTTTTCTTCCTGGGAGATTTTTGCTGGGCTCGCAGCATTCAGGAAACGTAATGATCTCTCCCTCCCCATGCATTTCAAGCTGCAGCTCTAGGTTTTTTTTTGGGGGGGAGGTGTCAAAAGCATTTGTGCATTGAATGCCACGTTGTGTTTGGTTGGGCCGCAGACTTTCTAAAGAATCTAAAGTGTCTGTGGTCCGGTGGTGAGCAGGCACTGCCACCTGGTGGGCGCTGCATGTTCCATGTCCTTGCATCTTGATCAGCTGTTGCTGTTTTGAAAAACACGAGGGCTGCTTAGAGCTGTGCTTTCCTTCAGTTGCTTTGGTTAAAAGGGGATGCTGATGGCTTCTCTCCAGACGGCTTCCTTGCTGCTGATTTCCCCCAGTGCATGACATTGTTGCTTAAAATCCAATGGTTCTGTGGTAGAGCAATCTGCTCTGCACACTGACAGTATTATTATTATTATTATTATTATTATTATTATTATTATTATTATTATTTTCCCAGAGCTTTAACACATCTTTGATTACCACCACCCTTTCTAATACATATGAACTTCCCCTCCATCCCTTCATGGTTTCCTTATTTCCCCTTATCTTGCTGCATATTATACCTAACACCCCTCTTCAGCTTAGCTTAATATCTAGATGGTTCTTCACTGCCGTTCACAGTTCAAATCCTACTTGCAAACTTATCTGACTTTTATATTTCTTCGTATATTCTGTGAAAGGGTTCCACTCCTCCCTTAACACTGACTTCTCCTGGTCTCTTAATTTTTGTTAGAGACTAAGAGTCGTAGAATCAAAGAATTGTAGAGTCGGAAGGGACCCTGAGGATTCTACCCCAACCCACTACAAGGCAGGAATATGCAACTGTCTCATGCAGGGACCAAACCTGCAACCTTGGCATTATCAACAATATACTCGTAACCAACTGAGCTATCCAGGTCCCACAATCAATCCCTGGCATCTCCAGGTGGAACAAGGAATATCCCCCTGTCTGAAACCCTGGAGAGGCAAAGCCAGTCAGTGTAGACAGTACTAGCCTAGGTGGACCAATGTTCTGACTTGGTATAAGGAAGCTTCCTATGCCACTAGGTTGGTCTTATGCTCTGATTTCTGCTAATGTTATGACTGTGTGTGTGTTGCAAATAAAATGGGCAGCTTTTTGTTTAAGTTTATTTGCACTTTTCTCATTAAAGCAGTGTAAGAAAAGCAAAAGCAGTTGAACTAAGTCTCTGTTGTAATGGCTGAAGTCTTTGTTGTGTCAGAATGGGAGAAAGATTTGCCCCTTTACCAAAATGTGCCAACAAAGGAAAATATATTTTTTTAAAAAAACAGGTTGAGATAAACTTTAATAATAATAATAATAATAATAATAATAATAATAATAATAATTATACCCTGCCCATCTGGGCGGCTGCCAACAAAACATTAAAATACAATAGTCTATTAAACATTAAAAGCTTTCCTAAACAGGGCTGCCTTCAGATGTCTTCTAAAAGTCTGGTGGTTGTTTTTCTCTTTGACATCTGGTGGGAGGGCGTTCCACAGGGCGGGTGCCACTACCGAGAAGGCCCTCTGCCTGGTTCCCTGTAACTTGGCTTCTCGCAGTGAGGCAACCGCCAGAAGGCCCTCGGCGCTGGATCTCAGTGTCCAGGCAGAATGATGGGGGTGGAGACGCTCCTTCAGGTATACTGGACTGAGGCCGCTACAACTTGAGTTTGCAACACGTATAGAACCAGTATGATTCGTTCTCTTCATTCGTATTATTTTTTAACAACTCCTTTTGCATACGATGGGCACCTTTTGTGTTTATTTCAGTGACGTTGCCCACCAATAATACAATGTAGGCAAGTTGGCTTCCTCCCTCCCCAAAAGGAGAATTATTAAGCAGCTGAATTTGTCAGGTTACCTTCCACACTGTAGTTTGCCGTTGGACCTCTGTGTGTGTGTTTTTCGTTTTCTTTCCTTGACTCTGTGACGACCTTTCATCACCTCTTCAACTCTTCCGTCGCCCACAGGGCCAGGCCGACCTACTGAAACACTCTAAGGCAGAGGCGCTTGACACACTCTGGCAGATCCACAACGCCGCACAGTCCTGTGGCATCGGCCGGAATGGCGCCGCCTCCCCCGACCTCTTCCGCGGCAGAGCTCTCCTCGATCCCATCCCAGAAACCGAAGGAGGCAGCGACACCGGATCTTGCTGACTTGGAGTGGCCCCGAAACCTGGGGAGGGCAGCGGACTTATGGACAAACACAGAGACTCGGGATGAAGCGTGGCGGATTTCTATTTTTATTTTTAAAAAATCGACACGAAGCACAGTTTTGTCTCCAGCGTGGGGAAGTAGCTTGAGGTTCTCGCCAGTCAACTTCCAAGTCACTATGCGCGTAACAACTGGGGCTCTCTTTTCCTAAACAGGGTGACCAACCCCAGACAGCAGATTTCGGATGGCAGTGACAAACAGATTTGACCGTAACCTGTGGGAAAACCTCTCCTGCACCAGCCTCTTTGGTCATTCCACATTGAAGACGTGCAGCTTCCCCCAAAGAATCCTGGGAACTCTAGTTTGTTAAGGGTGCTGGCAATTGCAGCTCTGGTAGGGGCAAACTGCAGTCCCCAAGGCTTTGAGGGAAGCCACATGCTCTACATGTATGGTGTTGATGTGATCACTGAAACAAACAGGAGCCTCCATGTTCCTTGGGCTGCTCCCATTCTTTTTACTGAGGCTCCCGCGAAAAACCAACATCAGCAGAGGCCTCTTCATTCATTGGACCAATAACCAAGCCTGGCCCAGAAGCTTTTCTATAGGGGCTCAGATAGGTGTCAGCTGAGCTGCTGTGGCCCATCAGTGTAAAGAGGTGGTTGTTCGGCTGGCCTTCTGCAGTCAAGTCATTTTACTGCCGGAGGCAGAGCAGCGAATGTCAGCTGCTGCCCGAGCTGAGTTGAGCAGTAGCCAAAGCTAGTCAAGTACTGCTGTTTTCTTTGGCACCTGAGCCAGAAATTGCCACATGAGTGTCTCCCCCTCCCTGTCAGTAAAAATACAGCCATCATAAATCAAACAATCTGCTGTCCTTTTCCTGACACCTGAAATCAGCTCAGGTGGCTACTCAATGGTAGGGCCGGCCCTGCTGGAATTTCATCCTTTTGGACGGAGGCGGGTGGCACCTCAGAGGCTGAATCCCCTGCCTGACATTTCATGAGGTCTTGGGTCAAGGTCTGCTAGAAGCACAAGGCCCTAAGAGCTGTGCATAGGATCACCTCTGATCCTATGTAGCGCCCCCTGTTGGTGAGCTGGCATGTTATTTGACATGTTATTTGCCATTGACATGTTATTTGGGTTGGGACTAAAATAAAAACAGCTTCTCTTTCTCTCTGCCCTTGGAACTAAATTCACTAGCAAGAGGAAGGCCAAACTCAGATTTTGGGTACAGGGCCCCCTGGGAATTGAGTGGCTCACAGCTGCAGAGCAAGGCTTGTAGCTGTGGGGCGCTGGAAGAGACTCCCTCAGGAGGTGGGGTGGGCTCCTTGCTGGTAGTATTTAAGCAGAGGGCCAACTGTCAGGGATGCTGTGACACTGAGATTCCAGGATTGCTGGGGTGGTCTGAATGACCTCCAGGTTGCCTCCTTCCAACTTGAAATATTATACAGTTCTGTTGTCTGCTGGACACAGATCTTCCTCAGGGCAAGATGGCAGTGGGGAGGGAGAGGGCTAGAAGACATCTCGGTATGTCTTGTTCTCCCCCACCATGCTTTGAGACTCCTAGTTAAGAGCTGAAAGGACAGGGAGGACTACATCTCGAACTTTCCTCTCTAGAATCTGGTTGTAAAACTTCAAATGGTTGCATCAAGTTAAGTCACACTCAGAGTGGATCCACTGAAATCAACAGAATTAATTGAAGCGTGCCAGTTGATTTCTGTGGATCTACTTTGAGTATGATGTAGCTGGATGCAACCCAAATTTTATCCTCTCCTGACTGGATTCCCCCCCTCCCCCGCATTGTTCCCAAGTTATGGAATATTGTTGGATTCAGGGTCCTGGGGTTTGTTCGTTTGTTGGCCAAAAACAAAACAAGGCTGTAAGATTGTAAATCTAACAATAAGATCATACCATCTTGAAAAATAACACGCAGACCTTAAAGCTTGAGTTTTCAAAGTGTCCCTTAAATTCACATTTGAAAACGTTGAAATTTGAAATATTTTGCCAGTCTCACAGATATTTGTGCAATGGTGTCTTCTGGTTCCTTACATTGATCTCTCTCTCACTTTTCCTCGTTTTTGGGGTGTTGCTGAGTGGGGGGGGCATAGACTGATGGTTCCCCAGCTGGGCCCTGTTCCCCTCATGCCAGACCTGGAAGGCTTCCTCTAGGATTGTGAGCGATGGATTCTCTTGACAATAAAACCTGAGCTTCTCTTCTGTTCTTTCTGTCTCTTTTAATCATGCCCTCACAGCACTTGGAGAAAAGCAACGGGGGCAAGGAAAATGATGAGAGGAAAGGGCTCAGCATTCCCTCCTCACTCACCACTTCCCTCTCTTTAAAATTTCTGCCCCATACATAAACACTTATCTCCTGGTAACCCAAGTGTCTACCAAGCAGAACCTGTGTCCTCTAGTACATGGGTCAGGCATGCTGCCATTGTGCCTGGATATACCCCCTGCTTCCATACTATCTCTTATCAGGATCAGTGCCCTTTTTGGATCTCTCTTTGAGGGACATCTCACCTCTACTCACATCTCCCCACTGATGAATTTGCAACTTCCAAACATACCTGAATCTTGCTCAGTGTGGGTATGGCTTCTAGTACAATAAGACTTAGAGTGGGGGGGGGCAGGCGAGACCGGATCTGGCCAGTGGACCAGATTCCTGATTCCACACAGGTCAGCTATGATCATAGCTGTCAACTTTTCTCTTTTCTTGAGAGGAAACCTATTAAGAATAAGGGAATTTCCCTTTAAAAAAGGGAAACGTTGACAGCTATGACTGTGATGGGTGGGTGAGACTGCCCACCTCTGCTCAAAGGAGCTTGCCAAAACTACCAGTCTGACTGGCACTGACAGCAAGCCCTGCTAGCTACAGTGCAGCTGATCCCAGTTGTTGCTACAAGTCCCATTTGCAAAGGAACAATTGAGAGCTCGCTTTAAGCACCCAATAGTTTCCCTGAGGTCTCCCCTTTCCCTGCTCCACACCTGATATTATGTATGAATTCTGATGTGGGGCAGTTGGACATGGTTTGGGAGAAACAGTTGTGTGGTCAAAATGGGGGCCTGTATTAGGCTTCGTGAGGCCTGCAGGCCGGAGGTTCCCCACCTCTGCCTTAAACAGATGCACAAAGTTAATGGGGCTACTTGAAATGGAGAGGAACGTAGAATGGGATTGCCTGCTTTTTCCCCTCAGAGGATTCCTGTGCCGTTAAGAGCAGCCTGAGACACAATAGTTTAGTCCACAAATCTCACTTTGGCTTCATGTTCCCTGAAAGTCCCATGTGAGGCCTCTCTTCTTCCGAGAGCTGGGGGGTGGGGTGGCAGGTGGGATCCTGCAACCCCCGGGCCAAATTTGGCCTCCCTGTTTGCTCTGTGAGGCTGCTTCAGGCAAACCTCCCCACCTGCCCTACACCTGACGTCATACAGGTAAGGGTGGAGTCTAGCTGAAAGGGACTTTGGTGCCTGCGCATCACTTCTAAGCCACCACCAACCAGGAATTGGATTCCTCACCTCTGGGCTAGGCTAGGAGGATGGGTGACATTGGGGTGCTGCACCCCCTGAAACCCAAGTACTGGTGCTGTGTACGCGTGCAGATTGGGGGTGCCATATTCTCTGAGGCATGTGCCCCGTGTGGAAGGAAGCGTGCCAATGCCACGTGCCAGCGAAAAGGGCACCGCTAGCTTCTGGCTCCATGTTTTTGAGGTAATTAGCCTAATGGGCCCATGCTAACAAGTGCGGCTCCTCTCATTATCTCGGCCTAGTCGTTGGCTGCCTTTGTGGCTTGTAAGCGGCTGTCCGGTTCCTCAGACGTTCGTGGGTTCATTACTGGAGAGGGAACGACAAAGGCGGGTGGATGTCTTGGCTGGTCTCCAAGAAACGGGGTACAAAAGGATCCTTCCTCTCTTTTCTGATCCTCTCTGAGGGGTCGGTGGGGAGACGGTTATTTTTGGCATTGCCATTGGAGAGGATGTGTTTGTGTCACGTATCATGGGAGCAAGTGAGGTACCTGGGGCCTACGTAGAAAACGGCCCTATAAATTGACCGCTTCCTCCAGCTTTTCCTTACAGCATCACCCCTGGAAGGTCATGACACAAGCCAACTTGTTGCTTTGAAGACAACCAAGATTATGGAGAGCCGGAAGATTAAGGTAACTGCCCTATCACACTCTCTAGATGGGCAAGCCTGGGTGGGGTGGGGTGGCGGCAGCACAATGTTGAGCTGGAGATGCAAATCTGGGTTGTCCTGTTCCTCTCTAGTTGGGCCAAGCCTTGGAAGATAACATGAATCTGGGGTGAAGCTAGGAAACGCTCTTAGAAGGAAGTCAGTAGATCGATGTACAAAACCAGTTAAAAATAGAGGACTCGATTTCAAACTTGAGTGTCACGGAAGAGTGCTGTGGAGCTCAAAAGCTTCCATCAAGCTAATGGTGCAATAGAAGACACCATCTTCTCACCAATGTGAGGTTTCCCCCTCATGATTTTCTACTACTGCTGTTGGAGAGTATTAGGAGCTGCATGGAAAATTAAAGAAAAGCAATGCTACTTTCCCCAGAGGGCTTCAGACTAGTTTAAAGGGATGGGATGGAGGGGAGGTCCAGGTTGGGAAAATGGGTAAAAGGGACAAGTTATTGGAGTAAAAAAACAGGGGAAGTTTGGATGGTTTCAAGAAGGACTTTGTGAGGGTGGTGGTCTCTGGTAGCTTGCACTATGGGACAGAGAAAGGGAAAATGTCCTGGGTGTAGAGAGGGGAAGCAGTAGGGGTAGTGGGATGGAAGAAAAGCAACAAAATGGGAGCACAACCAGTGTGCTTGAGTGGAACAGGTGTGAGAGAACAAGGATGTGCTGTAAATAAGAATCGCCGGTCCACCGGTCGAGCACTTCATCTCTCAACAGCGGCTGATCCAATGCATCTACGGTATGAAGTTCACAAATGGTCATGAAGACAAAAGCTCTCTGTGGACTGTCGTCAGCATCTGATTCAGTGAGGTTTACTGGTTCTGAGCATGAGATCCCATTTCTCATGGCTACTAGCTGTTGACAGACCTCCCGTCCATTGGTGGGGGGGGGGGAGAGCTGTAGCTCAGCAGCAGAGCATATGCTTTTTCATGCAAAAGGTCCCAGGTTCAGTTTAAAAAGAACCGCTTTTGGCGATAAAATTCCATCGGTGGCTTACACATCGTTATGTGTGATTTGTTTCATTTCATCTGTCCTGAATGGCTGCCAGTCACTAGGTGAGCTTGTGTTTTCATATCGTGCGTAAGGGATAATGGACACTTTCTCACACTGTCTATAATTTTATCATATATTTGCAGTTGGCTTATTTAGTATTAACAAGCCCCAAACAGGTTACAGTGAGACCGAATCTGTGTTTGTTCACAGGTAAGCCCTGTCGATTTATGGGATTTAACCCTTTCCTCCCTCTGGTTCTCCAGAGGAAAGTTTCTCTTCCTATGGTGCGATTTTACTTTAGGGATAAATCCTCCATTGCTGTGTGTGCTTGTGTGGCCCGGTGTGTGTGTGTGCATTTTGAATGCAAATCCAAGCTTCAGAGGAAGTATATTCCTCTGATCTGCAAAGGGGGAAAGGAGGGCTGCATTCTCTTGATATGCCTGCTGAAATCCCAATAAATATTTTCTCGGACAGCTGGTGCAATTTGCATTTAAAAATAAATAAATAAACCTGCACAACATTGGTAAATTCAAAGACACATTGGACATCATGTTTAGCTTGGCCCTTAATGACTTAAGATCAGAAAACCTGACATCCACTTCCACAGGCAGAGGCAATATGACTCCAAATGCCATTTCCTGGGAATCGTGGGCAGGTGGGAAAAGTGCGGTTGAGCTCAGGCGCTGCTTTCGAACTTCCCCTAAGTACTTGGTTGGCCACTGAGTGCAGGACTAGACCTTTGACCTGGCTCGGGAGTGACATTATGTTACGATGCTCTCAAAACCAACGTTTAAAATTGGACAGCACAGGCTGCCCAATGATCTGATTTAAAAGTGTTCGTAATTTGTACATGGGGAACACTGCGGCTGTGAGTGATAACATACGTACTTAGTTACTTAAATAATATATAACCCACTTATAATTGTTCATTTTTTACTGAGTGGGAGAACATCAGTGCAGCATAGTGGTCAGAGGGTTGGACTTGGACCTGGAAGGACCAGGGTTCAAATCCCCACTCGGCCATGAAGCCTACTGGGTGACCTTGGGCCTAGTCACTGCCTCTCAGCCTAACCTACCTCACAGGGTCATTGTGAGGAAGAAGAAGAGGAGTTTGGACTTGATGTCCGGCCTTTCACTCCCCTTAAGGAGTCTCAAAGTGGATAACAATCTCCTTTCCCTTCCTCCCCCACAACAAACACTCTGTGAGGTGAGTGAGGCTGAGAGACTTCAGAGAAGTGTGACTGGCCCAAGGTCACCCAGCAGCTGCATGTGGAGGAGCAGGGAAGCGAACCTGGTTCACCAGATTACGAGACTATCGCTCTTAACCACTACCTCACACTGGATTAAATGAAGAGAGGAAGATGAACCATATACGCCACCTTGAGCTCCATGGAGGAAAAGGTGGATATAAATGCAATGAAGAAAGGAAAAAAAAAATTCAATACGACTTACGAGTAAAAAATACGATAGGCTACCAACGGAACTGCATCAGAGCTCTCACTTCGATTTGAGTGGCTGGTGCTCCGTGGGGCTGGTAGGGTGCAAGATAGGGAGGCCGACAGTAGGGGGAGCCAGAGCCAAGGGCAGGCACAATCTGCTTGTTTTAGTTTCATCCTGGTCCTCTTCTCCCCTGCTGATTACTACAAAGGCAACACAGACTAAGGAGGAGAGGAGGGGGGAGATGTCAAGGCAGTGCCACCCCCGGTAAGAAGGCAGGCAGGTGGGCGCTGGATGAGGGCAGACTGAGGCTGGTGGGGCAGTGCCCCATTTGCCCTAATAAGTCCTGCCTCCACTGCTCGATCTGTTGTCTGTTTGCTAAATGTATGTTTCCCCAGAAAAAAACTTTGGGTAACTGAAGTGACCCATTATGGCAACGTTTTCATCTCTGGCTGCCCCCTTGCTGTCTTTCTGCATCTCAAAGATCACCATCAAGAGTTTGCATCCAGGCAGGAGGGAGGATTATAATAACATCCCTACCACTCTACTGCTTATGTTTGCTTGTTATTTCTGCAGAGACTGACTCTCTGAAGAGGTTTGTTTCCTTAAGAGATTTCTGGTTTATTGGACTCTGTGCCCTCTTTCATGAACAGAGCGCTACTCCCACCTGCAAGCACGACTTGCCTTGCCCTCTCTGTAACACATGATATGCAGGGGTAATTGCAGTCTACTGATTCTGCTTGATAGACCGGGCTTCTGATATGCTCATTATATCTGCATTCTCTTTTAGCGCCAGGCAAAAAAAAATCCCTCCTCTGAAGCTTGTATTTGCATTGGGAGGAAATCTCCCACTGGCACCAAGATGATACTATTTGCATTAAAAAGCAGCAGCAGCAACCACCCCAGACCATTAAATGCAAAGACACGTTTTCACTTAGTTTGGCCCTCAGATGCTAATTTGTAGCTGCCTATGAAAGTTATCCCAGTTGATGGCTCAGTGCAGGCAGTAAAATCTATGGAGCAGATAACTTGGTGCTAATTCACCTAATCTTTGCTTTCAGGCTTTTCACATTAGTATCTAAACCTTATATATTGCTTCCCTTTTTAAATGCCGCATGTGTATAATATTTTCTATGACCCTTGTTGGACTTTCTGATTTGCATTCATTCATTTTTATGTTTTGTTACCAGCTTCTATTCAGCCCCCGCTTTGAGGGTATTTGAATATTTAGAGCATCATCTCAGAGGGATGAGTCCTCAAGAAAAGAATAGTGCCTCTTAATTTCCCCTAGTTTTAAAGCCGCTCTGCAATCTTGTTGTGTTTTGAAATGCCAAAAGCCTTGTTCAGCTTTAGTTCAAGTGATGCCTGTCTCTTCAGTAGAGGCTCCCCTTGTCCAGGGACTACCAAATCCAAATTTCAGAGGGCTTCTCTAAGCCTTTTTATTGAGTTTGCTCTGATTTGCTTGCCCAAAGCTTGCAGAGAGATTAAACGATGCCTGATCTTCATTTAGCTTTGTTCTGATGTGTTTGTGGTGTAGTTTTATGACAATGAGCATTCGTCCTGATTTGTTTCTGTGTGGGGGTGTTCCTGTGTCTTCCCATTAATCATTAATCCATCCTGCACCCTAAAATACCATATTTTTTGCTCTATAGGACGCACCGGACCATAGGACGCACTGGACCATAGGAGGGGGAGAACAGGAAAAAAAATTCTCCCCCTCTCTGCTCAGCGCCCCTTCAGCGAAGCGGCAGGAGAAACGGAGCCCCTTCCATTTCTCCGCCCCCCCTCACTCAAGGGGTGCTGCACAGAGAGGGAAAACTGTGCAGCACCTTTCCAGCGAAGCAAAGCCTGGAGAGCAAGAGTGATCGGTGTGCACTGACCCCTCTCTCTCTCCAGGCTTCAGACGGCTATCCGCAAGCCTTCGGAGTGCAGCAGGAATTCCCTGTGCTCTGTGGGGTTCAGGCAGCTTCGCGTTGCTATCGCTGAAGCCAAGGAGCCTGCATTCGCTCCATAGGACGCACACACATTTCCCCTTCATTTTTGGAGGGGGAAAAGTGCGTCCTATAGAGCGAAAAATACGGTACATGGTTTTGGGCACCATGAGTGCCCTCCTCCCAAAAAGTGTCTTTGGGCTCTGTGCTGTCACATGGGTCATGTGATTTGTGCAGGAGCACAGACAGGAAGACACATGTCTCAGTTTTGGGACTCAGCATATTGGAGGGTACGGTTTAGGAAGCTGACTTGTACCAAGTCAGACCATTGGACCACCTAGTTCAGTATTGTCTTCACTGACTGGCAGCAGCAGCTCTCCGGGATTTCAGATGGGATGGTGCTGGGATTGAACCTGGGGACTTTAGGGTGCAAAGTTAATGTTCTGCCAATGAACTCATAGAAGTGCAGCTGAGAGGGGATTTAAAGAAAGTTAAAGAAACTTTCATACATGTTTGCAGTAAGGTGGGGTTTTTTTGGGGGGGAAGTACCCTCATTTCTGGCATTATAATATGTATTTAATTTCCTTAAGGGTTGCTATTTTTAATACACGTTTACAGTCATGTTAACCTCCCCCAAAAATAGCACTGTTATTCTAAAACTCTCTATCATCACAGACGAGAAAAAAAGTTTAATTAGGAGAACCCTAATGAAAATGTGGCAAATTCCAATGCATGCTTTCCCCCCAAGCCAAAGTATAATTTAAACTTATTTGGCTATTCCTACCCACCTCATAGTTCTGGTTTGATGATTAAGCTGCCTTCTGGGAAGGGGGCATGACTGGCTCAAGACATTTTGCAAAGCAGTACCCGAGGCCACCCAAGTTATTTTGACACCTGAGGCAGAAAAATCCTACAAGCACTTCTTCCTCCCTGCCCCCGGCAATAAAAATATAACAATTAATTATAATTATGATGCATGAAGTTGCTAACAATTTGCTGTTTCTTCACAGCCATGCCAAAATCTGCTGCTCAAGGCTGCTGCCTCACTCTACCTAATGTTAGAACCGGCCTGGCTGCGGCTGCTGTTAGGTTTACTCTGGAGGTTCAAATCTTCCTCTCATACTGAAAATTGCTGACTCATCTTCATACCCCTCCAGGTCCAGAGAGCCACCTTGCTGCTCCTCTTCTCCTTGCTCTGCTCCACCGCCATGACCAAGCAAGCCGTGCCAGACTGCTGCCGTCAAAAGAGCTGCTCGTGCCAGCTCTTTGAGCTGCTGCATGGCACGGGCAACCACGCCGCCGGCATCCTCACCCTTGGCAAACGGAGCAGCGCCACAGCCACCACCAAGGCCTTCCAGAGCCGGCTCTATCAACTCCTGCACAGTTCAGAGAACCAGGCCGCTGGGATCCTCACCATGGGCAAACGAGCAAGTGGATTGGGGCTGGGAAACACAGAGGATGTGCCTGGCAGCAACCGAGTAACACCAGCGCCATACTCTGCAGGGCCTGATCCAGCCATGGGCTGCCTAGCACCCCTTGAGAGGGACTTGCCACCTGGCCCAAAGATGGGTGCTTCAGATACCATTTACTAAGGCTGTGAATATGTCTCAGCAGAGGGGTGAAATTGCAAGAAGCCACCTGAGCACCTTCTGCTTTCTATCATCGCCGCTGTCATCTGTCCTTTAATGCCAGGCAGCTGCTAGGTGCTGTCCCGGAGGTGGCAGTGACACGGTCCTTCCCCTTGTGTAAATAGCTCTTTTCAAACTTCTGTCAACCTCACGCTCCTCTTGTGTTCTTTTCCAAATAAAGCCAGCTATCATATTCACTGCCATTCTGTCGGTGTCCGTGTGAGAGAGATGCTGCCGGCATGAAGAATGGAAGGATGCCCTTTCTGGATCAAACTGAGCATCTGTCTAGTCCAGGAGTAGGAAACATTCAGACTGGGAGTGGATGGGCTGAATGTGGCCCTCCAGGCCTCTCCAGCTGGCCCTTGGGACTCTCACCAGGCCACATCCATCCCTAGGCCACAGCCTCTCACCACCCATGTAGCAGCCCCTGTTTGCCTGGCTAGGATGTGTCTTTGAGCTGCTGTTATGCCTTGTGGCTGTCTGGATGGAGGATGGAGACGTGTGTGTGTGTGTGTGTGTGTGTGTGTGTGTAGAAACTTCTTGCTTTTGTGTGGTTGTGCATTGGTTGTGCACTTTTTGTTGAGATTTGATTAGATGCTAGGAGAGGCTATATTTATCAGATATTTTCCTTCCTTCCTCCCGTTTGTGAGAGTTTAGCAGAGTGCCACTCCTTTGCAGCTTAAAAAGGAAGCTTAGATGTAGCCTTTTAGTGTTAATAATCCAGGATGCTTTAAGGCAGACTGGATTTTCCTGACATTGGCCCTCCAGATGTTGCTGAACTCCAACTCCCATCATCCCTGGCCACTAGTTATGCTCGCTGGGAATGATGGGAGTTGTAGTTCAGCAACATGTGGTTGCCAAAGGTTCCCTACAGCAGAGCTATAAATCTGAAAAGCTGTGACTGAAACCTCGCCTGTCATCAACTCACTAGCTCATCCTAGAGAAGCCCCGTTGTCCCCCCCCCACCTGCAATGTTTATAATAACCCTGAGCCACCTTACAGGGTTGTTGTAATGATTGCTTCAAGATAATACTTTTAACATTTTGAAGAGCTGTATCCATGCTGAATCATATTGTTTGTTATTATCAAAGGACTCTGCTCACTGACTGATTTCCACCTGAGATCAGACATGCAAAGTACTGTATGCTTTGAACTCTCCCTTCCCAAATGTGAACAGCATCAAAGGTACTTGCCAGAGCTCTCCTCTTATCAGGCACCTCAAACGCTCCTTGATGCTCATCAGCATCTCGGCTTCCAAAGCTGCTGTTGGCTGCTCTCACTGGCAGAGAAAGTGCTGGTGATTCCTTTGCCTTCCTGTGTGAGAGAAAAATGGTGTGTGGCTTGTCTCAGTGGTAGAACATCTGCTTTGCTTGCAGAAGGTCTCAGGTTTAGTCCCTGGCATCTCTGGGCTAGAGAGACAAATAGCCTGACTCTGTATGAGGCAGGTGTGTAGAGCTTATGGCCCTCTGGATGTTGCTGAACTAAAATGCCCATCATCCCTGGCCATTGGCCATGCTTGCTGGGGCTGATGGGAGTTGGAGTTCAGCAACATCCGGACAACCAAAGTTTCCTCACTCCTGATTTAAGGCATCTCCTTCCTTTACCTTCCTATAGGTCCTAGGACATCGAGGACCTCCAGAACTAGAGACAGGCTGGTGGGTGGACAGCTGTTTTTGAGTAGGTGTTTCTCATGCTCAAGAGATGAATGTTCACTATTTGAAAAGAACAACCCCACTAAGATCAGATATTATTATACATACCCTCCAACATTTCTCTGGTGAAAATAGGGACATCCTATTCTATTATTAGAGGGACGCGGGTGGCGCTGTGGGTTAAGCCACAGAGCCTAGGACTTCCCGATCAGAAGGTCGGCGGTTCGAATCCCCGCGACGGGGTGAGCTCCCATTGCTCGGTCTCTGCTCCTGCCAACCTAGCAGTTCGAAAGCACGTCAAGTGCAACTAGATAAATAGGTACCGCTCCGGCAGGAAGGTAAACGGCGTTTCCGTGTGCTGCTCTGGTTCGCCAGAAGCGGCTTAGTCATGCTGGCCACATGACCCGGAAGCTGTACGTCGGCTCCCTCGGCCAATAAAGCGAGATGAGTGCCGCAACCCCAGAGTCGGTCACGACTGGACCTAACGGTCCGGGGTCCCTTTACCTTTTTATTCTATTATTATTATTGTTATTGTAATACCCCACCCATCTGACTGGGTTGCCCCAGCCACTCTGGGTGGCTTCCAACATATATAAAAACATCATTAAACATTTTAAAACTTCCCTAGACAGGGCTGCCTTCAGATGTCACATAACTCCATACCCTCCAACATTTCTACAATGAAAATAGAGACTTCCTAAGGAAAAGTGAGACATTCTGGGATCAAATCAGAAACCGGGACGACTTCTGTAAATCTGGGACTGTCCCTGGAAAATAGGGACACTTGGAGGGTCTGAATTATCCTGGTGACCTTCATCTGGACAAGTTACAGAGATTATCATGGCACAACAGAAGGAGAAAGTAGTAGCATGTATATATAGCTCATCTAATTTGGGGCAGGCCTGTATTCTCCTGAGCTACAGCATTATTGCCTATCTAGACAATGGTCTGGGGGCTGGAACTGCATTTTACCAAATGACTAAACCCAAGGGTTGCCATACATCTAGGGGGGCTCTTCACTAAACCCAGCCCTGACTCCTCTCAATTTTAGTCAATTTATCCCTGCTTCCCACCTTCTAAAAATCCTAAGAGGGGTCATCACCAAAAAAGTAAAGAGGGTCACCAGACTCTCTAATACCCAATACAGTGGTACCTCGGGTTACAGACACTTCAGGTTACAGACTCTGCTAACCAGAAACAGTACCTCAGGTTAAGAACTTTGCTTCAGGATGAGAACAGAAATCGTGCTCCGGTGGCACGACGGCAGCGGGAAGCCCCATTAGCTAAAGTGGTAACTCAGGTTAAGAACAGTTTCAGGTTAAGAACGGACCTCCAGAATGAATTAAGTTCTTAACCCGAGGTACCACTGTAATAATTCAAGCATCAAACATGGGTGGATCTGAATAGACCAAGAATGGGGAAGCTAAGCCCTGTCCCCACATGTTAGACTACAGCTCCCATCATGCCTGAACATTGGCCATGCTGGCTGGGGCTGGTGGGAGCTGAACAGCAAATTGAAGGCCACAGGTTCCCCGTTGCTGGGATAAGACAGCATGAATAAACAAGGCCATGCACAGCTGGAGACCACTGGGCCGCCCTCAGGCAGGCACAGAGACACAACTGGAGAGGTTCGGGTAAGGGGGGGGCTATGAGGGCCTTTGAATTAGGGGTAGGGGGTCTCAAACCATATCACACCCACATAGCCTTCTGGAACGGTAGCTCAGGAGCTGTCACAAAATGTTGGCTGCAGGTCAGGGACTGGGGTCACATTCTGGACTTGGGAAACAGTGTTTGCTTCACTTGAGAGCTAGGACAGGGCAGTCTGGGCTTTAAAATCCCTTCTTATAAAAGCCTTCTGATGCTCCCCACCTGGGCCTTCTTTTGTAGCGTGTGAGGGCTGTGAGAAGCTGAGTGTGCTTTGAGGAGTGTGCAAGGCTTGAAACTGAAGGGAAAGTGTCAGGAAACTGCGGTTTAAATGAGCTCAGGAGTAAATTACTTGAGGCGACTTTTCCAGCCAGATTCGATCTCAAGGCCTGTACTTGCCTACCCCTTTATTAAAGTCTACAGTCAGAGGCAGCTCTTTGGGGTGGAACTGGGACAGTTCCTCTTCTAACTGCTTATTTCCTTGGCCGCTGGGAACCTGCCTAGGACAATAAGAGTTCTTCCATCACTACCTGGGTTGAACCAGAAGCACTTGCCAAAGGTGTTTTGGTTTTTTTTAAAGCCAATGTCATTCTCTTAGAAAGTACTACTTTAATCACCTTTGATGCTCCATAATAGGCCGCTCTGCCCTAATGGGCCAGGAGCATAACCTCATCTGGGATAACCTATCTATTAAACAGATGCTTCTATCCATCCATCACTGTCTGGCCCTATGTCCATGCTGTTTGGGCAAATTCACTGGCTTGGCATTGGTCGGCAGCCAGGGGGCAGTGTTGGCAAAGAAAGCTGGCAGCTCCGGCTGCAACGAATCTCTTTGTTTGGGCGATTCTTTTGTGTGTTGTGTTAGGGCTTCATCTCTCAAAAAAGGAAAGGTTAGGCGCTCTTTGTTTGTACACAGCCTGACCTCTGGAACTTGTAACCCCCTACCTTTTAGGGGCTCTTTGTGTTTAGCAGTAAGGGGAGGACACTTCGCATGTGCTCAGCGGTACTCTGTTCTTTACTGCTTCACACACTGCATGACTGAGCCTTGACACAAATTAAGTTCTGGGTGAATCTAAATTGCCCCACCTGAAATTATTCTTTCTCTGCCTTCCTCCATTACGAGCAAAACTTTGCACATGCTCAGAGGTATTCTCTTCTTTATTTCTCCACACATTACCGAGCTGAGCCCTTACACAACTTAATCTCAATCAAGACACCTGAAATTCAATCAGGTGTGAATCTCACTCAATCAAGACACCTGAAATTCTTCTCTGTCTTCCTCCAAAACACCTCCACTATCCTCAATGCTGCTAATTAAGAAGTTGATCATTTTAACAAGCAAGGAGCTGGAGTTCAACACTACTTGAAAGTCACTCCTTTGATCCTCGAACAGCTGCTGCACAAATCTCAGCTTCATTAAAGGGCCAGGAATTATTATGATTACCGTAATATTGTTTATTAAACAATATTAAAAGATCTCAGGGTGGTTCACAGAATAAAATACAAGATAAAACACAAGTAAATAATCAAGACAACAAAACAAAAGGTTGCAGCAAAAGAATTTGTTCACGTCCAGACATACTTTCATATGCATTATCTGGGGCTGAATCCCAACAAGAAAAAATAGCTAGGGCGGCCATATCTCAAGCTAAACTCTGATTCTTCTTGGGTTTATTAATCTGTTTAGGTCCAACTCCACCTCATTGCCAATTTTCACCTTGATTTTGCCTTCTGAACCAATTAATGTAAAAAATTGGGGACTCTCCTTTGACCAAATGCTGTACACAAAGGTAGTGTAATGGGGTCACTCTTCAGCATGTAAGGTTCAGAATTAAGCCCTGGCTCAGAGCCAGGTTCAGAATTCTGCATGTGGCCAAAGGCACTCTCTTCTTAACTGTAGC